AAAAGAGCGAATTGAAGAATTCTCTAAACACTCTATAGAATATCATAACCCAAGGAATGAATTAAGTCGTGGGGTGGTGAACTCAGATAATGATAGTATGGCGGGAATGATGGCTAAATTAGATAGTTTTGATCGAAGAATGACTAATATGGACCAATCCATCCACGCTATCCGGGTGGGATGTGAGAATTACAAAGGGCCTCATCTCACTAAAGATTGTGATCTTGACGAGAACGGGAACCGGAAAGCACAAGTATGCTATTCAAGTAGTGATAGGTACGATGACAACTGGCGAAAACCCAAGAAGGACTGGCTTCCGTATGATGAGTATAAAAAGGCAAAGGAGGAAAAGTACAAACAAAAAGATAGAGGATTTTATTAAAAGGAGGAACCGGTGCAAGAAAAGAAATCAGATTTTGAAGACATGCTCACGAGATTTGCAGCTGCATCCGAGAAGAGACACAATGATACCGATGCTGCAATGAAAGAACAACGAAATATGTTAAGGGAGAAACAAGGCATGATTAGAGAATATCAAACCATGATGATAGATCAACAAGCCATGCTTAGGAATCAGCAAGCATCTACTCTGAACATTGAAGATCCCAAACTGGTGCAAGAGGAGGCAGAAAAGCAGAAACCGTTGAAACCCGACACGACTCGCCGAGTCGAGGACATGGACTCGACGAGTCCCCCACTTGAATCGAAAAAAGAGCCTTCTGTTAAACCTTATCAGCCCCCATTACCATTTCCAGGCCGAGCTAGACAAGATAAGCATGATGTTGATTATCAAAAATTCCTGGAACACATCAAAGCCCTTCAAATTAATGTGCCCTTCATCGAGGCGGTTGCACAAATGCCAAAGTATGCCAAATTCTTAAAGGAATCCCTTTAAACAGAAAGAAGATGGAAGAAGTAAAAGAGGTAGTTCTCAATGAAAATTGTTCAACCGCCATGTTGAATTAAATGCCTAGAAAGAAAGGTGACCCAGGTAGTTTGACATTGCCTTGTCAATTCGGAAATTTGGCAACTATACACGCGTTAGCGGATTCAGGGGCAAGTGTAAATCTCATACCATATTCGTTCTTTAAGAAATTAGACCTTCCGGAGCCAAGGCCAATTCGAATGGCAATACACTTAGCTAATAAAACGGCGACATTTCCAAGGGGAATATGCGAGGACCTATTGGTAAAAGTTGATAAGTTCGTGTTCCCCACGGATTTCATAGTTCTAGACATGGAAGCGGATCCTCAAGTCCCGATCATACTTGGAAGACATTTCCTCAACACCGCGAGTGCTATAGTAGATATGCGAGATTCCAAACTTACCCCTTCGGGTGCGAGACGAATTAGTGACATTTGGAGTAGATCAAGCAATGAAGCATGCAAGGTTTAGTGATGATCCGGCATTCTCGGTAGATATGATGGATGAATTAATAGAAGATTGGAAAGAGGACAAATTGAGAAATTCCACCATTTCTTTGGAAGAAGATTTTGATGCTGAAGGGGACCTGAAAGAGATAGAGAGACTGCTAGAAGAAGTCGACTACAATGATTTAATCATAAGTGCTGGAAGTTCGACTCGCCGAGTCGATACTACTGACTCGACGAGTCCCTACGGGAATTCACGATCAGGCGACAATTTTAGTCTAGACTCGACGAGTTATATACCCCGACTCGACGTGTCCAGTGCACAAAATACGAGATCACACCTTAAAACTCTACCTGATCATTTAGAGTATGCATTTCTTGAAGAAGGTGATCAAAAACCAGTTATTATAACTTCTGACCTCTCCAAATCTGAAAAAGAAGAATCAGTCCATGTCCTAAAGAAGAGAAAGAGTGCCTTTGCGTGGAGTATCACCGATATCAAGGGAATAAGCCCTTCTTATTGCTCTCATAAGATCAACCTGGAAGAAGGGGCAAAGCTGGTAGTGCAACATCAAAGGAGATTGAACCCGAAAATGCAAGAAGTGGTAAAGAAGGAAGTGGTCAAGCTTTTAGATGAGGGGATTATTTATTCTATTTCTGATAGCCCATGGGTTAGTCCTGTTCAAGTGGTGCCCAAGAATGGCTGGATGACCGTGGTGACAAACGAAAAGAACGAGCTTATTCCGACCCGAACGGTAACCGGTTGACGAGTGTGCATCGATTATCGAAAGCTAAACGATGCCACTCGTAAAGACCATTTTCCTGTACCTTTTATTGATCAAATGCTTGAAAGATTGTCTGTCCATAGCTATTATTGTTTCTTAGATGGATTTTCGGGTTACTTCCAAATACCCATAGACCCAATCGACCACGAAAAGACTACTTTCACTTGCCCAAGTGGGACTTTTGTCTCTCGACGCATGCCTTTTGGGTTGTGCAATGCACCTGCGACCTTTCAAAGATGCATGACGGCAATTTTCCATGACATGGTGGAAAAGTTTATGGAAGTATTTATGGACGATTTTTCTGTTTTTGGATCTTCTTTTCTTGATTGTCTTGCTAACCTTGACTTGATGCTTGCTAGGTGCGAAAAAACCGATTTAGTTCTCAATTGGGAAAAATGTCACTTTATGGTTAAAGAGGGTATAGTCTTGGGGCACAAGGTATTCAAAGCGGGAATTGAGGTGGATCGGGCAAAAATTGATACAATTGCTAAATTACCTTCACCAACTAATGTGAAGGGCATTAGGAGTTTTTTAGGCCACGCGGGTTTTTACCGCCGTTTTATAAAGGATTTTTCTAAAATAACTAGATCTCTAACTCAATTACTTTTAAAAGATGCACCGTTTCATTTTAATAAAGGGTGTCTAGAGGCTTTTGAAATTTTGAAAGAAAAATTAACTAATGCTCCGATCATTATTGCCCCGAATTGGAACTTGCTCTTTGAAATAATGTGTGATGCAAGTGACTTTGCATTAGGAGCCGTACTTGGCCAAAGGGTTGATAAGCACTTTCGACCCATTTATTATGCAAGAAAGACTTTGAATCCGGCCCAAGAAAATTACACCACAACCAAAAAGGAATTGCTAACCGTGGTGTATGCTTTTGACAAATTCCGCTCTTATCTTATTTTATCAAAGGCCGTTGTTTTTACTGACCACTCTGCTATTAAGTACTTGTTTTCCAAGCAGGATGCAAAGTCAAGACTGATCCGATGGGCGCTTTTACTTCAAGAATTTGACATGGAAATCAAGGATAAAAAGGGGATGGAGAATGTAGCTGCTGACCACCTATCTAGACTAGAAAATCTGGAAAGGGAAGACAAAGACAACGTGGGTATTGGAGATAGCTTCCCGGAAGAATATTTGATGATGGTTGTGGATGAAAACCCGTGGTATGCAGACATTGCAAATTATTTGGCTGGCAATTACCTAAAAAAGACCTTACCCATCAACAAAAGAAGAAATTCTTTTCAGAAATTAAATATTATTTTTGGGATGAGCCTTATCTTTTTAGAAGTTGTGCGGATGGAATAATAAGAAGATGCGTGTTTGGCAAAGAAAGTAGAGACATATTAGAGCATTGCCACAATGGACCTGCTGGAGGACATCATGGGGTACAATACACTGCGAAAAAAGTGTTTGATGCTTGTTTTTAGTGGCCTACTATTTTAAGAGATGCTGCTACCTACGTGAAAGAATGTGATGCTTGCCAACGAACGGGGAATATATCGACAAGGAATGAAATGCCCCAACGAACGGGGAATACATCATGGGGTACATTTACCCTATGTTTTTGTTTACAGAAAACCACATAGATTTGAAAAAATTCACCAAAGTTTATTATTCCATGATTCTATTCCATGTGTTTGTTAAACAGCTTTCTCCCTAGGTTCACGGTCCAACTGGTTCCACCGGCCGATTTAAACCAGTTTTTAAAACATTGCGTTTAAACGTCATCTGTATTATTTATAACAATTAACTATTAATGACCTTTAAACGTCATCTGTATTATGTATAACAATAACAATTAACTATGAATGAATTTCACCGGAGATTCTCTTTCTCTAAATATTATTTTTCCAAACTTGTTTTCCGGAATTGACGGGAAATTGTGAATACCTATATTTGATATAGGCGTCGTAGGGCACAAACCCAACCTCCCCAATTCTTTGACATTTTAGCCTTGACAGATAAAAAAGCGATGGCGGGTAAGTTTGTACTTCGCAAACCTCCATACCTTATTATTCTTTGAAAATCATATGAGAGACTTCGTTTAAGTTATGTTGTTTATGATTTCTCCTTTTCATTCCAGTTGAAATCGCAAACTCTTTTTTCTGGAATCGTTGCCAATTGTCATGTATCTATAGGAAACAGAATCAAGAATCTGATTTAGCCATGTAATTCATTACTTTTAAGTTGAAAGTTATGCTGTTTATGATTTCTTCTTTTCATTCCAGTTGAAATTGTAAACTCTTTTTTCCGGAATCATTGCCAATTGTCATGTATCTATAGGAAACAGAATCAAGAATCTGATTTAGCCATGTAATTCATTACTTGTAAGTTGATTTAAGTTAGGTTTTGCCTTACTACTACAATAAAACTGTTTATTCACTCCTAACTTATGTTACCACACCCAAAACCTCGATAATACAAGGAAATTAGCAGAGTATCAGTAACGTCAAGTTGTTCTATGTTTTTTTTCCTTCCTTTGTCCTTTGAAATTACTTTATATATAAATATATATATATATATATATATATGTATATAACGACAGAGATATATAAAAGGAGGGGGTGTGTAACTTGTGCTGAAGAAGATAGAATCAGTAACTTGCCAGAACACTTGATAGACTCGATCTTAGAGTGGCTCCCATTTGATGATGTTGTAAGGATGAGCATTATATAAAAAAATTTGAGATACAGATGGACTACAATGAGAGAACTGGCTTTTAAAGAGCAGTTCTCCAAAAAATGGAGATTTTGATCATAATGGATTTCTAAGGACCATAAACCAAGTCTTGATCCTTCACAAGGGTCCTATCTTGAAATTTCAGCTCTATATACCAAAAATGGTTCTTGATAGTTTCCAAGAAGTTGATCAATGGATGCTACTCTTATCAAGAAGTGGAATCAGGGAACTCAGTCTTACTAATTCAAATTCAAATGAAGGTTATGAACTTCCTTCTTATGTGTTTCGTTGTCTAGAATTGACAAAGTTGAAACTTTGGAGCTGGTTCTGCAAGCAACCACTCATGTTTGAAGGATTTCCCAATATTGAACATCTTCGACTCTTCCATATTAACTTTGGGGCTAACTTGTATGGAACTCAGATGAACTTACCACAACTTAAGGTGTTGGAGATGTATGTGTGCACACATGTTTACAATTTCAACGTCAAGGCCACAAAGCTGCAGAGTTTGACTGTTTTCCCTTGTCCAGATGCCAGGTTGCTCAAATTATTGAACAGTCCATGCATTAATTATCTTTGTATATCTATCCATGAACCCACAAAGGATTTGGCACCAGTCGAAAGAATACATTTGGCAAGGATGTTAAGTAAATTTCCCAGAATTAGAAATCTTTATATCAATGATGGTTTTCTTAAGGTATGATACAAAAGTAAAGTTTTAATGTTTAAATTTGCACAAAGCGCTCCTCATTTATTGTCTAATATAATTCTCATGTTAATTTTGATTAAGGTAAAATCTCACTTGCATCTCACAGTATGCCATCAAAGAAAATATTCCAAAGTGGCTTCCACAAGCAGTTAATAGTTTAAAGCGTTTGTCCTTGAATATTCAACTTGGTGAACTGTGTCAACTTCATGCTGTTTTATGTTTGCTTCGAAACTCACCAAACATGGAAAGTCTGTCGATCATGATTTGCAGAAGGGTAAAATAAAGAGTGCTAGAAATATATTTAATTTCCATGTAATAGTTGTACAAGAGTTGGTGACTAAACCGCTGTTGCATCCATATGTTTTTTTTTCAGCACCCAGGAGTTGACGTGGGACCAGCTTCGAATCATTTGGAAACCCCAATCTGTTTGGACTGTACATTAATTCAGCTGCAAACTGTGGAGATAACATGGTTAGGAGGATCAAGAGTGCAACTGCTTTTTATAAGGCTTCTTCTTGTTCATTCGCCTTCTCTTAAGAAGTTTATAATCACACCGTATAAAAGGTGTGATGCTCAAAAAAGACTTGACATTGGTAAGGATGTTATGCAATTCCCTCGAGCCTCACCAAAAGCAGAAATAATCTACTTGAATCCCACGTCATACTCCTGTAAGAATGCTCAAAAACATGGCAGTTTAGCTCTACATTTTCATCCTTACAAGCATATTCAGATCATCTTTCTTTTCTTGATTTGTTTTTTCGTGGATTATTTGTTAAAGAAATGCCCAATACGATTAATTTTTTTGGCATTCATATTACTACATGTCCAAAATCACCATCCTTGCAAACTAACTGTTTTATGTCGTTTTCACAAAAATGATGCCCTCTTCTTCCCCAAAGCCCTACTCTAGACTTGTACCTTGAAACAAGTGATTTATTTTTGTTAAAATCACATGATCTACTACATTTTAAAACTAATTGAATAAGAATGATTTACACAAATGTGGACAGATACTTACAACCGAAATCATGAGTTTGTTGATGTAATTTTTTAAAAATGTATACAAATTAAGTGAAAGAGTACAGGTTTCCTGCTTCATAACAGAAAAATGTGAGATCTCTCTTGAATCTCCTATAAATACAGTGAAAGAGAACAGCTGCACTTATTTAACCTACATGCATTGACGCCCTCACATTTTTGTTATTGGTAATGACTTTTTCTTCCATGCGGTTATTTGTCTTGTAAATACTCGTATGAATTCATTAATCCTCATGTTAAGCACTACGTTAGCACCATCATGGTGGTCTAGTTGTTGGGATTGGAAAATTCTTCTATTAAACAATAAAATATAATCACAATAGGAGGAGCAACTCTTACACTCAACTATTACAAAAAACCAATCCTCTCTCTAACACTCTCACTATAGTGTTATGCTATGTATTTCTATGTGTTTAGGATGCTTTACAATTGATGATCAAACCTCTATTTATAGTCATGGCAACCACTACTTTTGTAGACATCATTTATTTTGTTCATCATAGAGTAGGGAGACTTTACCACACTAGGTTCCATTTTGTCAACAAAGGTGGCCACTGCTTCTTTGGAGGCTGGAATACAACAAATCTCCCCCTCCTGTCTCCGTCCAACAATCCTCATTCTAACTATGTCAACACATAGTTTGTGTTTCTCTCCTATTACTACCTTGGTCAGCATATCCGCAGGACTGTCGTTGGTGTTGATCTTTAACAACTTCAACTCTTGTCCCTCGATTGCTTCTCTAAGCCATTGATAAGGAAAATCAATGTGTTTGTGTGAAAATGGTACATCGAGTTCTTGCTCAGGTCCATAGCACTCTGAGTATCGCAATGGATGATGTACTCTTCTTGTGGAAAACCTAATTCTTGAAGAAACCGTTTTAGCCATATAAGTTCCTTCCTAGTTTCAACAGAAGCCGAAGTATTCGGCTTCTGTTGTTGACAATGCTACACACTTTTGTAGCTTGGATTGACATGAGATAGCTCCCCATGCTAAAGTGAAAATGTAACTTGATGTAGATTTCCTATTATCAAGATCTCCTGTCATATTGGGGCATCTGTATAACCTTCGACGATTGGCTTTGCTCCCCCATAGCATAAACATAGTTTCGAACTAACCTTCATGTATCAAAGTATCCACTTGAATACTTTTCAATGTTGCTTTCTTGGATTAGCTAGATATCTACTCACAACACCGACAACATGAGCAATATCAAGTCTTGTACACTCCATTACATACATAAGACATCAGGCAGCTAAGGAATAAGGGACTGTTTTCATCTCTTCTTTTTCTTTCTCAGAAGAGGAGTAATTTTTCTTACTCAACTTGAAGTTATTGGCCAAGGGCGTACCAACGAGCTTGGCATTTTCCTTGTTGAACCTCTTGATCACACGTTCTCGTGTGATAGGAACAATTTTCATGATTTCTATCACAGATGATTTTCATGCCCCGTATATGTTGTGTTGGACCTAAGTCTTTCATATCAAATAACTAGGGATGAGATTAAAAACCAAAAAACCAAATCGGAATGAGAATCGAACCGTAACCAAAACCGGTATAACCGGAATATGCTAAACCGGTCCAGGTTTTGAGTTTAAAAAATAGCATTATCTGGTTCCGGGTATGGGTCCAACGGGTCCGGGTATTCTTGGTTTTAGAACCGAATTTGTAGGTGATAACCAGAACTGGGTTGAATCGGAACCGGAATTTGTAGGTTTAATTTTATTTTACCCACAATCAACTAACTCATCCTTGATCGACTAATACGACTACTGAAAAAAACATTTATCTTCTCTTCTCTGTGTGGTCGACGTTGACAGGCAAACATACTCCTCATCTTGTTTTTTTCTCTTCCTTTCATTCCCAACTGAAGACTTCTCTTTTCTCTCTGTAAGTCAAAGTTTTTTACCAATAATTTTGGCTTCTGCTAAAGTTGCTAAAGTGAAAGAAGACGTTTTTATCAGCAGATGCCTTTTAGGACAAAAAAAAAAGAACATCGATTGAAGTTAAATATATCAAATCTTAAGGAACTTATGAACAAATATATCAGGTTTACATAATAGTAGTAACAACAGAGTATAGAAATCATTATGTAAATCATATGAAAAACTAGTAATGGTTTCCTACATATACCATACAAAAGTGAAAAAAAAAACTATTCAGAGGAATTAAACTATTTCATGAACTAGTTTGGTTAGAAATGACTTGCTATCAAATTTCATTTTTCCGAGTTTTCGGGTCCATTCAGGTTTAAAACTCGTAACCGGTTTCAATTACGTATTTCCGGTCCCAACCAGTTGCATACCCACTTTACCCGATCTGATACCTAGAACTGAACCTAGAACCGGTCCCCTATACCGATTTCCAGTTCTTCATATCATTCAATTTCGTTTTCTGGGTCTGGTCCAATCGGGCCAACTTCGGAACCACTTTCATCCTTACAAAGAACTTAGATAGATCCATCTTCAATTTGTCGAGCATTGTTGCATATTGGCCCACTATCGTCATATCATCTACATAGAACAAAAGGATGTAAGGCTGTTTTCACATCTATCTACTCAAGTTCAAGATCTAGACAAGAAACCATTCCGAGTATAACTAGAATAGACATTATCTTCACAACCGGAGAAAAAATCTCATCAAAGTCGATTCTTTCTTTTTGTTGGAAACCTTTGACAATAAGTCTTGGCTTATACTTCATGGTATTTCCCATGCCATCTTTCTTAAACTTGAAAATCCTTTTTTTTTTTTCAAGGCTTTCTTTCCTTTTGGGAGTTTCACCAACTCACATGTTTGACTCTTCTGCAAAGAATTCATTTCTTCTTCCATGGCCTTCTGACAATTGGCTTTGTTAAGAGGAGATTTAGCCTCTTGAAAGCTCTCCCCCTCCCCCCCCCCCCTGTTGGTAAGCTGAAGTCGGGTATCTTATTTATAGAGCAAGAACTCGTTTGGATCGTTGAACTTAAGTTCCTTCATTTGAAACTTATGTCAATGGATTTGAATTATAATAGGGTGGAAGCTCCCCCTGCTCAACACCTTCTTGTTCTTCATAATCAACTTCCTTATCCTCTTCTTCAATGGAAACATCATCTTTATTTTGTAGATATTATTTCTGAAAGCTTGGAGCTTGGTCGCTCGCTAACCGATGCCTTGAAACTGTAATACTGGTTTTCATAAAAAACCACATCTCTACTTCAAATAACCTTCCTCAGTTCTGCTCCCACAGCTTGTACCCGAACTCTTCATCTCCATATCCAACAAAGATGCATGGAGTGGATTTAACGTCCAGCTTCTTCCGTAATTCTCTTGTTACATGTGCAAACGTCTTGCACTCAAGTCAGAATCTGAGATGTCTTTACCCATCAATATCTTCTCCGAAACTTCAAAATTCAGTAGAATAGAAGATGACCTATTTATTAGATAGCAAGTTGTTAATACAACTTCACCCCATAATGGCATTGGGAGTTTAGCCATGTTAAGCATGCACCGAACTTTCTCAACAATGGAACGATTCATCCGTTCTGCTAAACCATTGAGTTATGGGGTTCAAGGGACAGTCTTTTCATCTCTGATACCACTGTGGAGTATGTACATAACTTACAGGAATATTACTTGCCTCCATTATCATATTAGAGACATTTCAACTGCTTGCTTGTTTGTGTTTCCACCATTGCATGAATGCTTTGAAGTAGTCCAATACTTAGTCATTCGATTTGAGACAGTATGTCCATACCTTTCTTAACGCATCGTCGATGAATGTTATGAAATACCTGATTACACCAAGAGATTCTGCTTCAATGGGTCCACATACATCGGAGTGGACAAGGTTCAACAACTCGGAGCGGTTTTTTCTTGTGAAGCTAAAGGAAACTTTATGTTGTTTCTCAAATAGGTAGTATTCACAGGAATCCATCACAACATCTTTTTCCAATGAAACGAACACCATCTTTGCAAGAGTCTTCAATCCCTTCATGCTCATTTGTCCTAGTCTTTTATGTCACAAGTTCGGTGATGTCTCTTCTTCAACAGCATTAAGACTTGGATGAAGCAACTTTAGAGGGGTTTTATAAAGTGTAGCATAAATTTTCCCCCTTGAAACGACCATAACACCTCTTAACAACTTCCATGTGCCATCTTTGAATTGATTATCATATCTCTAAACGTCAATAGCTCCAACTGAGATAAGATTCATTCTTAGCTCTAGAACATGTTGCACAACTTTCAGCACAAATGTACACCCTACATTGGTTTTTATGTATACATCACCAATACCAGCAATGCTTGAGAACCTGGTGTTTCCCATCTTTATAGTACCATCGTCTCCAGGTTTATAGGTAGTAAATAGATCCTAGTTTGGAGTCGAATGATATGATACAACACTATCAATCACCCACTCATCATTATGAGTGCCAACATGTAGACATATTTCCTCATCTTATGTAACAAGTGTAATGTCTTGTGCTACAGTGACCATGGTTTCACCATTCTCCCTGCTTGAATTTTGGCTCGTCTCAAGCTACTCCCGTCAGCAATTACTCTTTTGTAACCATAATAACTACAATGATTGCAATAGCTTTCAACCCATGTATTTGAAGACTTACCTCGCTCTTGCAATTTCCCTCGATCCCGTGATTCCGTTCGATCAAGGGATCTTCCTCTACTTTTACCATGTCTGACTCTACTTTGACCTCCACCTCTACCTCCAGTTCTACCTCCATCTGTTTTTTTGTTTTCTAACATGAGAGCAAAAGACTAGTCTATACCATCTTCTTTCCTTCTGGCTTCCTCATTCATTAGGGCGTCCATGACCATCTCCATTACCACTTTGCCACCAGGGTAGAATCGTTGAGAGTCACAACAAGCGTCTCCCAATCA